GCCCAACATTGGTAACATCACCCACTGAAACATACGAGAAGGTACTGCCAAATATAAAGAAAACGGAAGGTGGACAGCATGGGGCAACAGTATTAGGCATTCACTTAGAGGGTCCTTTTATTAGCCCAAGCAAAAAAGGAGCTCATCCAGAAAAACACATAAAGGAATTTGAAAAAGTTAGTTTTCATGTAAATTTAAAATTTGTATACACAGAATTTTATATACATATGCATATGCTTAATTTTGAATTTTATCTTTCAGGGTTTCCAATCATTAATTGACACTTACAAAAGTTTGGAAAATGTGTGCCTTGTTACATTAGCGCCAGAGCTTGCAAATGCTCAGTCTGTAATCTCAGAGTTGTGCCAAAGAAATATTAAAGTATCCCTTGGTAAGATATCATTCAATATTTCACACTTATTTCTATTCGTGATTATATTATTCAAGTTTAAATGTTACAGGACATTCTATCGCAAATTTGCAAGAAGGAGAAGAAGCTGTAAAGAGTGGAGCTTCCTTTATCACTCATCTTTTCAATGCAATGCTACCAGTAATTACATTATATGTATAAAAATATAAAAAAATTGTAAAATAAGGTAAAATAAATAATCAGTTTATCTTTGTAGTTTCATCACAGAGATCCAGGGTTGGTGGGTCTTCTAACATCTGATCAAATCCCTCCTGAAAGAATTGTTCATTACGGTATAATTGCTGATGGGATTCATACGCATCCTGCAGCATTGCGCATCGCTCACAGAACTCATCCCGAAGGTTTGTACATTATATTATACATACAATAAAAATGTTGTAGCATCAATTTTTTAATTAAATCGTGTCGTTCTTTTACAGGGCTCGTTTTAGTGACTGATGCGTTATCTGCATTAGGATTAGAAGAAGGTGTGCATCAATTAGGCCAACTTAGGATCGAAATGCGTATGGGACGTGCATACATTGCTGGAACAGACACATTATGCGGCAGTACAGCAGAAATGTCAAAATGTGTTCGTCATTTCAAGGAAGTGACTGGTAATAATTTATTTTCATTCAGTTCTTTGATTTAATTTTCACTCATTTTATTAAGATCGCATGAACGCATTTAAATTCTACCGTTTTGAAACTATAGTCGAATTATACATTCATTTGTTGAAGGTTGTTCAATAGTGAAAGCTTTGGAGGCTGCAACCCTTCACCCAGCGAGGACTCTCAGTATTGAAAAAACGAAAGGAGTGTTGAACTTCGGAGCCGACGCTGATTTGGTAATGTTAAATAAGAATTTAGAATTGTTATCGACGTGGATATCGGGAGAGTGTGTTTACAGAAAGTGCTATTGCTATTCTGATTGTGAGCACTCTCAATGAGACGCAGCATACCTTTATATGTGATAAGGACTGCACGAGATTATCATTTTTTAACATTCGATTATCGGACTGTGAATTTTATGCATTCATAGAAGACTCGTATCGGTAGAAAATACGAAATATGTACAATAGTATTGAACACATCATAAATGAAATAGGTATTATTACTTTTGAAGCATAAAACAAATTCCTATGTAAATCATAAATATTTTGTTCTGCATAAATATCCGTAGTTAAATTATCAGTCTACACCAAGTATAAAATTTTTAAATATTAATATTTATGCAGGAATCGTTACGAACGCCTTGATCACTGTTCCGTAATTCATTTAATACGTAATGGCTGTGAATATTGTTGTAGCCGAAGTTACATATATTCATTTACGTATTACATATCATATATTTTTATATATATGTACATATATATGTACATGCATTTTTACATATATTTTGATACACGTCAGGCAGTGATGAATTTTATCTTTATCACGTGTCCTAGAATGCTAAGATGCTTACTTTGTTAATGAGCGTGAAATAAAATAAGATAAGATGTTGATGAACAGTGTTACAATTTTTGTTTCTTAATATTAATAGAGTATTTTATATACGTTGAAATTTATATGACAGCATGTGAGAGAAGATATTCATTTTAATATTGAATACTGTTTGAAACAGAATTTTTCAAACTGTTGACAAATAAATTGTTATTTTATACAAAGATGTCTATTTTCTATTTTACTTGTTCCTGTGTCCTCTGTCGGGATGAAATAATGCATAAAAATAATATATCGAATGTTTATTTCTCGTTTCCAAAATAAGAATAGCGTACATTTAAACAAAAACAGAAAGGTGAATCTACTATCAAAGTCATCTAATTAATATCAGTATTGACAATACACGTTATGAATATGACAAAAAACACTAAAAGTAAAAACCTTCGATGATGTACTTTTTTAAATCAAACATGTTGCACTCATTTTGGACCAGGTTTTCATTGTTAACAGCACCGATAATTACGTACTAAATAATATCACTTATACGAAGCGTTAAGAAGTGACCTGTTTTCTCCAGCAATATTATTGTTACATCGTTTAGTCTCTCAAGGTAGAATGACGAAAGCAGAAACCCGCGAGGCATTCATGTTAATAGACCATGTCCTTCAAGTTGCATATGTACTGCGAGTGCCTAATGCCAAATGAATGCGCTGGAGGAATGTCAAGGAGTACCTGCAAAAAAATAATTTACATAATTATTCTGCTAGCAATAGACCGCAGATTTTAATACAAAATAATTAATATAAAATAAGATTTCACACACGATAACATGATTGAGAGTTAGGAAAATCTTACGGGATACAGTTGCCGACTTTTATTCCTCAATTATAGAAAAAGGAAATATCCGTTTTTAAACAATGGTTTTTCAATTTTTTACATTAATAATAATAAGAACATTATAAATACTTTTTCTGGGCAATGTGCACCGGGTCCTGGGATCTGGGAATGGTCATTGGGCAGCTGATAGCGGCCGCTTATGCTATAAGCGGGACTCTTCACCCTGACTGCATCCGGTTTAATAGCTTCATACGTCCCAGGTCCAGGAACTAAAACTCGATCATCTGTGAAGACCTTCTGTCTACCTGAGATCGAATAAGCGGGTGCTGCTTTCTTGTTTCCTTCCTTAGTTCCACCAAGAGCGGAAGGAATATTATAAACATTTGGAGCTAAAACAGAACACAAAATAAAATATTGAATATTTTATTATGATTAACAATCGCAGTATTGGTACAACGATTATATTAGCACACGGATGCTTTCCATTTAAATACCTATATCAAGAATTTTTGGTCCGTATACGATACTTAATTTTATCAGTTGTTAATTAAACTACATTTTAAAATTAAAGTACTTGTTAGATGTTTGGAGATATTTTTATTACATTTGTAACAGCAGATACTTCCGTAAAACGTGCAGAATTATATTTTATATTGCGATAAGATGGAAATAAACAGCGAATAAGGAAAGCTGATGCGGTTTTATAAATTTTAATATACCTGGGATATTATCGGGCCTGTATATACTCGTCCTAAGACCAAAAGTAAATCGGAATGCTTTTTCTAATAAAAGCATAGCTTTCTCTGGACTGTATTCGCCCGGACCTTCAAATAAAATAACAAATCTACTAGAAAATTGTAAAAAAAACATTGATACATATTGTAAATCTATCATACCTGGTAGGGAACTCGTATCGTGCACAGTAGTCTTAACTCCAAAACTGTATCGGGGTGATTTGTTCAGATTTACCTTCTCAGGATGGTAGCTTCCCGGAGCTGGATTTGTCACAAGTTTGAATAAAACTCATTTAAATATTTATTTGAAAGTTTTCGAATATTGTTTACCTGGTATATCATCGGGTTTCTCAGTTAATGCCTTTACACCGAATGAGTATTGCGGTGATTTATCTAAATTTACTTTTTCTGGAGAATAAGTGCCTGGAGCTATGAAATTAAAAATAAAAAGGTAACAATAATCAATGGAAGCATGGAATCAAAAGTGTGTACATACAGCTATTATGATTTATAACACGGTATTATGACATACACATAATTAAAGAAATAACTTTAGAAATTTTTTATATTATATTCTTTTTATTATTTTATATACAATTCTAAAATTAATACTTTCGACTTTATATGCAAGAGTTCGTAATACTAATGATAAAGCAGTTATCAAATTTGGAGGCAATAGTTTTCGCATGCGTTAAAGTAAAATTAATTGCGGTAGTAATATTAGAAACGTAATTAATTATAAAAATTTGCGATAGCTATTGTCAGTGACTTGTTAATGCACACCATTACCTGGTGTATCCCTAGACCATTCCAAGGGCCTTCTATTACCAAAACTGAAATAAGGTTTATGTTCCAAATTTATTACTTTCTCTGGATAGTAATCAGCGGGGCCTACCGAAGCAATCAAAACATTAGTAATTGTTTCTATGGAATGTTAAAACCTATACCGACTGAATCTCCAAACTTAGAAGCTCCAGAATGAATATGAAGAAAATTCACCTGGATTTTCGTTGGGCCTTTCCGGTTTGCCTTTACCCGATAAACTATATTGGGGCCCTCTGTCTAAATTTACCTTTTCTGGACTGTATGCGCCAGGTGCTGTGACAATTAGAATTATTCTATTATAGATCAATTTGTTAATAAATATACTAATTTGTAGACTGCCGATTTTTGTGCAGAATCAAGTATTTAAAAAATCCATTTCAGATAGTTCAAATGGAAAATCCACTTCAGTAATACTTTTAAATTTTATGGATAATTCTATGTA